ATTGAGATTAGATGGGGGAAAAGAAGTATAAATATAAGAATCATCAGCATATAGTTGACTAGAGAAAGAAAAGTTATTAATAATACGAGGTAGTTCAGAAGTATAGAGTATAAATAGAAGAGGGCCAAGGATAGAACCCTGAGGTGCCCCGAAAGTAAGAGTAGAGGAGTTAGAAGTAGAATTATTGAGAACAACAGAAGAAAAACGATTACAGAGATAAGAAGAAAACCAAGATAGACTAGAATCAATAATTTTAAAAGAAAGATGCAGCAGTCTCAACAAGTTGAAAACAGTGGACAAGGTATAGATCTTTGTAAAACATTTTTTGAAACAACCTAACTTTTAACTGACAGCTTTCCAACTCCACATATTGATCCCTTCCCGACAAATAACTTCTGAACCAATCCAGCAACAAACCCCCCAATCCCTTAACAAGGCAATTTATCCAACAAAATTGCATGATCGATTGAATTAAATGCTTCTGACAGGTCAAAAACAGACAGAATCAACACTTTATTTTCAACGTTGCTCAATTCAAAACCGCAAACTCGTTCGAAGAATTTTTTGATGCCCCAGTGGTTTTAAGAAATTATGTTTGTTGGGAAAATTTAACTATCTCTTAAAAACAATTTTTCTATGAAATTCGAAAATATAAATATGAGTGAAATCGGTTTGTAATTTTTGTACTGGCTCTTTCTTGAATATTGGAATTATGTTTGTTAGTTTTAAATTTAAAAGAAATTTGACAGATTAAAATGAGAAATTTATTGAAAACGTCAAAGAAGTGCTGAGAGCGGCAATAAACTTTCTCAGCATGGCATTGGAAATGTTGTCCTGACCACCACTGTGTTTATTTTTCATGCAGCTCTAAACAATATTGTTGTTGCAGTTGAACGACCAGCTTCCAACTTGCACGAGTTTAGAATAGGACCATATCTGAAAATTTTGTATCAGCACCCAGTGGAAAGAAAGTATCTTGCTGCGAATCATCAGGCTTGTCATCGTTTTAAAACTTTTTGAACGTAGGAAGACACGATATGACGTCGACATGAATCAATTGGAGACGATCGACAACATCAAACGCTACACAGTTTATGATCTACTGACCTGATGTACAAGGATTCGTGTTTTAATTTTATTTGCAGGGATTTTAAATTTGTTAAGGTTAGGGTTAGAGCGCCTAACATTTAGATTTGTTAGGCGCACGAAAATCAACATTTTTTTACTCAAATTTACTGTATTTAATTAGATTTGCACGACTGTCTCGTTTTTAACGTTTGACCAAAATGTAATTTCTTGC